TCTCACTCAAGCGAGTCTCAACTTTTCCATACTTATCAAGATATGCGTTATTAATTTATAATTAATTGTTATATACTTTTTCAATTTACCTATCTCCTCAGTCTTCGCGTGGTTTGCTTTGAGGTTTTTCCCCCGATTTTAACCTGAAATACAATAAACCGCTGTTCAAATTTCGGCACCCCATCATTAACAACTACTTTACGTACAAGAGCATGATGGCGGCTCATGGTACAAAGTTTATTTTGGTGATGAATTTGCGCGATCGACGACATTTTAATTTGTTCGCACTGTTTATCGACGGGTTGCGTCCGGACGAATATAAATTAACACAAATATATTCGCATTACATTCTAAACAACCACTTATATAATCGAGCTTTAAGTCATCAATATTAACTCGTTTGTTGTTTAGGTCAGCTCCCGTCAATGTGCCAAAATTACATCTATACATACGCTCCTCCAAAATATATCGATTCATCTTGAAATTTCCTAACGAACTGAGTGGCAACTATTAAAAGATAGCACCTTTAACAAAATACGGTTTATTATTCATTCAACCGAAGTATCGAAAGTTCTTTTTCACCGAAACCTATAATGTAATCTTAATAAACTGATATTTATGCCCATAGAAAAATTACATAAAATTTGATAGTTGATAAAAATAACAATATAAATAAAGGCTGTAATATCTGATTGCGTTGCTTTCATATTAAGCAAGGAATTCAGCAACCAGGGATGTAGCTAGTTGCTGTCGTGGAACTTTATAAAAATATTGGTTATCGAAAAATATAACTAAGACAGTGGCCCGTTTCTCTTTGTTTTCTTAGTGACATACAGAACCCAATATCATACTACTCCACCACTGCGTAACATGTAAAGCATAGTTTAATATTAATATAATATATCATCCACTATACAAGAGCTCGATTTATTTTACACAATTACAAGCTTATCTAAATAAAAAACATTTTTTCTACGTATAATTATAATTCTATTCAATCGTAAATTTTATTATTGCATATTGTTAAAACGGATTATTAAGCTCATAATTATGATTGATACCTATCATCTAACCATAATTATAGTTAGACAAAAATCTATTTATTTCATAGACTAGAGACAGGGACCCTGTAATATAATAATTATTCTGTACAGGGCCCCACGTCTGTGCCTGGTTACTATTACAGAGCATCATTCAATTTCTGCGATTCGTGGAGTTTTTTTACACTCTAGCCATTCTATACTTATTTAAATACACTTTAAAAATTTATCTAATATGAGAAAAAGCTCATTCATACTTCATTAGGTATATAATCAATCACATAATATATTATAATAAAAAATGGAATAATTGAATAATTATAAGTCAATGAAAATGTTAAAAAAATATTGAATAAAAAAAGATATATCAACATTATATTGTTATTTTAGATATTAACCTAGTCTTATTGAAGCGTACAAGGCTTTGCAGACGAGATCATGTTTAGTATTTTCTTAAATATTATGCTGTTTTTACGCTTTTTATCGTCCGTTAAAAGCTCGAAATAATATGTCCTTTTACGACAAAGAAATGGAAAGTAATGGAATACGAAATTCATTCATTGGTGTCTTATACCTACATATTTGTTCGTTTCGTGTTTATACTTATTACCACCAAGATACTTTTTACCACCATTGAAAACGAAAACTTTTATTTACACAACCATAATACTATGCGGGTAATCTGTTTTAATGGTACTAGATCAGACAGACAGACAAATAATTTTAATGACGATTTATAATCCGTTCTATATAAAAATTATCCGTTTTTGTGGGGTCCTTTGCTAATGGTAAACGACTAAGTGTAAATGAACGGAATCGAGTACACCCGTATTTCAGCGTAAATATTGTCAAAATGTTTTCGCACCTATACAATACAGCTGAACAAATTTTGATGAGTAAAGCGGACCTAGGAGATGGACATAAGGCGAAATATGGATTGAAAAATTGTTTGGAAAGTGATAGGTATAACATCGGTGTTTTTTTTGATTGGAAATACGAGTGCTGTTTTGATTTTGTAAATGTCGGGTTTTCTTGTTATTTATGTATTTGTAAAATACACAATACTCACGCCAAGTCGGAGCTATACACCAGTGAAAAACAGATTAACAATCCATACTAATATTATATATGCAAAAGTCTATCGGTATGTTACATCTCCACGCTTAGACAGCTGATCCGATTTAGATGAAATTTGGTATATATTACTTATTTATATATATATATTGCTAAGGACATAGGATAGCTTTTGTTTTTTGTGTATTATTATAATTAATATTTTAAAAAGCATAAATGTTTAAATCAATTTTTAAAATAAGGACAACAATGTACCATTTTTTATTACTTTCTTATTTATTCAGGTGATGATTACTCTGAGTAAATCAGAAGCACTCAGAAAACAAAATTGTTAGTTATTACCACGAGTAGTATCGGAAAGACACGGAGTAAAATGAAAATATTTCATTATTTTTAAATTGGCCCCGAATGATGGCGAACTCGGCGCCACGGTGATGACGTGACATGATCGAATGAGATCCTAATGTCATATATATGAGATGAAAGAGATAGTAATTAGACTGTCAGTCCCAAAGGTCCCCCTCGTCTAAGGTGAATGAACTTTTGTATCGCTTCGCGTTGGCCCTACTTTAGTACTGGCGTAAACTCAGCTTTTCTGTCATTGACAAGATTGTTTTGTGATAAATAAAAACTAGTAAAATAATTTCTACGAAAGAGTACATTCACTATATAAACTCATATTTTACGTTACTGCGTTATATGTAATACGTCTTGGGGATACGTACGAAAATAGGTAACTAAGACAAAGTATATATATTTACGTATTCATTCCATTACTATCATTTATTGCCAGGTTTCGAGCTCAATCACACAAATTGCTTTCAAATACTTTATTTCTTTATAGAAAAACAACACTGTATCGAGTCCTTCTTTCAGTCTTTAGTCCTAAGCACCTAGTTAGTAGTTCGTTTGAAGTACAAGGAGCCTAACGAGATTGGAACAATGCCCTATCAAGTTAAATAGTGGAGCGCCTGGGGGTTTAGACCTCGGACATTTGCTGCATGGAATACATTTTTAAGGTTGAAATGGATTTTTTTTTATACTTTAAATTGTAATGTTTACAATTTCTGAGCTTTTGATTTTGTTTAATATTTATATTTAAACACAAAATAATATTTGAGTACATTAATTCTAATTATATAATGATTTCTCTTATGTATACATTAAATTATACACCAAGTAGGTAAAAATCATATAACATTACTGTAATGTTCGCTCGTTTAAAAAAACTTTTTTGTACACTTTTTATATATTAGTAGCTATATATTCCATTTCGAATTTTAAAATTTCATTAACTTTCGCTCCAGTTCGAGGTATTCATGTTTTTAACGCCCCGGTCGCTACACTAAAACCAGTGTAGGAAATTAGTTTTTCGAGGCGCTAATGTAATATTTCTAAACGAAACGTAGCCATGCGCGCCTAGTTCTTCACGTGACTGAAACCGACAATTTCAGCCAAACTCAGGGACGCATTTTAATTTTAATAAAGTTGATCTCGTCCTTTTCCATATCAATAGAATAAGCAAAACACGTCACTTTTCAAGAATTAAATTCAACGGATGTCTCCAAGTCCCGCCCGCGTACGTGATTATCAAGAGCCTGCGCTGCGTTAAGCGGGAGCACGGATTGGACGTCCGCTCCGGCGTGCGTTACATAGCGGTAGTCCGCTCCGTGTTTCCGCTTAACGCAGCGCACGCCCTAAATAGTACGAAAAACATCCATACGCGCCTAGCGTTTGACAAAAGAGACAAACTAATCGTTTATTTTAAGGAATCGAGTTCCGAGTGATTATTTATTCGTCGAGCAGTTAGGAATGCCTTATGTTTGGCATAAAATGAAAATGTATTAAAGTCTTTAAAACTTAACAAATGTTATTCTTATGTGATAAATCACATAAGAATAACATTTATTAAGTTTTAAGGTAGGTAAAGCTAGGAGTATGGTCATAAGCGCTTATTGCTTTACATAAGAGTAAATGAGAATGCAACTGCGCTTGCTTTGTAGAAATTAAACGATTCGTGATTAAGGTGTGTATGGATTCGATTTGCAGTAACAGGCTTGCCTGGTTATTTATTCGAAGTACAGGTAAAGGCGCATAGTACCAATTTAGGAGTATTTCCTAAGTTAGGGACAAGTAGGATAGATTCTTTAAGGGGTTTAAAGTGTATTCCTACGTAGCCTTTTTTTATCGAAATAACATTTTAGTAACAAAACTCTTTATCTGTGGACCAATTTATTTCACTGCTCCATAAGCGTTTAGCGTTTCGTATGTTAAAATAGGAGGGTTTTAGAGGTTTTCACTAAATTTTTTCAGTGATAATTAATTTGGGATTTTATAATAATAGTTGGTCGAGAGCGCCTATTATGTATTCAGTTTTATTACTGGCACTTAGAGATTTGTTTGTCAGAGGCGCCTAATGATAGTGACATTTTCTGGAATGACGGGCACCAGGTGGCAGCACTGAGACGAAAAATTTACTCATCCGTCAAATCGCATAATAAATGTCTACATGGCCTATGAATCAATTTCTATGCTCGTTCAATTAGTTCGCCCCAAAAACTTATTACAAAAGATCTCGCGTCACAATGGCGCCAACTGTTGACGTAAATTTTCATTAACACCCTCATTATAGTCTGTCCATTCATTTATTATCTTTTTGACAGATCGATTGAAGTAAAAATAGTGACACCCTATCACATAATTCGTTCGATTTAAAACTGTAATCGATTTTATGCTAGAACATTGTTTAATCGATTTTAAGTATCGAAATTATTTTAGTTATCAAAAATACTGGTGTTATATAAATTATTACAAAGTCTCATTAGATTTATTATTTTACCAAGTACATACAAATATTTGTGTGATGAGCACGAGTATTTGTTCTGTGTCTGGGTGTGATTTATCTATAATATGTATGTATATACATCAAAATATTTTATGAAGAATCTGATACTTTTGAATAAATTAAAAATAAACTAAGAAATTTATATTATGAACTTTATATAATGTTAATATTTTAATTACTTGGTTTCTACCTTTCAATTTGGTTGTACTCATTTATTTCTAACGATTAAGTAAGTGCACGGTACCCGTCCATGAAGTACAATACAAAATTTCATTTCATGGGTGTCGATCTGTCAAAAAGATAATAAATAAATGGACAGACTTATAATTAAAATTTGGTCACGGGGTCCTTATAAAATGTTATTGCAGAATTATTATTGCTACCATATAGTAGTGTTTTAACGGGTGACTTTTTAAATTTATTCGGAATAATAATACAGGCACCTAGTGATTGCTTACTGGGAAATTTGGGCGCCTAGTGACAGTTTATCAGGAGTTTGAAGCCGCACTCAGAGACTTTATTTAACTCTGAAATTCGATTAAGAAGGAGAGACTACATTGGGTTTGAACCAAGACCAACCAAGTCTTGGTTCAAACCCAATCTGCTGTCTGTCTTTTTCGTACCAAACAAAAGTGACACTATCAGTTCTAGTCCAGGTTCAACTTAAGGCTAAGCTTTGTAATGAGGCGGATTTTGTTTAAAAGTTTCATCCGCGTTTTGGAATAAGGCGTTACGTCTGCGAGTACGGTTACTAGTCACAGGCGCCTAGTGAGTAGTGATGTATTGAGCGGTTAATGCTTGACGTAAGAGTAGACGAGAATGCCGGCGATAATGATGCCGAAGGTGATGGTGAGTGGTTTGTAGAGGGACCTCTTTAGGTTGTGCCACTTCTCGGCGTTGCGCGCGCGCCGCTTCATCGCCGAAACTCTGTCCGCCAGCTCGCGGTTCTTGCGACGCCTCAGGTCGGGCCTTTGCGTCTCCGATGTCTCACCGCTGCGAACAAAACGCAATGCGTTAATTCATCATCCACACAAACTATCAATAAATATAAATATTTCCAACACTCACAAAGTAAGCACTGTAAGGCTTGTGTTATGGGGATACTAGGGTAACGGATAGAATACATATACTGATACACATACAGGATGTTTCTTCTGGGTGTCAAGCTACTGCGAGCTGATAGCGGAGTACCACACCTATCAATTTAATCCCCATGTACGTTGTACGTATGTTCTGTTAAAAGAAAATACCGAAGAAAAATCAACCCAAAAAGAAGTTATCCTTTTTTTAAGTTGTCTTATCTTTGAACTTAAAAAAATAACGAAAAATAAATCTAACTCGATAACTACGAAAAATCGTAGAACGTACATGGGGGTTAAATTGATAGGTATAGTACTCCGCTATCAGCTCGCACTGGCTTGACACCCTAGAAGAAACAACCTGTATAAGTATATTTATATAGAAATACATATTAAACATCCATGACTGGAGTACAAATGCTCGTATTCATCACACAAACATCTGTCCCCACCGGGACTCGAAGCCGGGACCTCTCGAGTCGGCGACACCATGAAACCCGGCGTACAAACCACTCGGCCACGGAGGTCGTCAATGCCTCCACTGCTGGGGCTCTCCCTAGATGGAATAGAGAAATGGGGACGAAAACTGCCAATTTATTCCGCCACAGGCGAGTGTCGATTTTCCTATAACAACAAATCAAGACAGCTGCAGAGTATAATTTGCTACTAACGAACGGCCCGGCCAACCGTTGATTAGATTCATACAATATATAAAGAAACTTCTAACCTCAAGCAGAAACTAACTAATAACTAATTTTTTTTTTGTCTGGAAAATGCTTTCCGCGTCCTTCAACCACTGCGGGAGCGAGAAGAAGATATGTGCGACTCCTCCCTGTTCACTTCAGCCAGCCCTGAGGCCAGATGAAGTGTACAGGGCCCTACCTACGCCCTGAACAGGGCCACTAAAAACCAAACAATATCCCTGTACCGTGTCACCCGACCCGCATAGCTAGGACCGTAGTTCCAGTATTGCGGGTCAGGAGTGCGGGTGGGATTGCGGTACCCTGTGGAGACTGCCCGCAAGCAGAAACTAACCTCACAACATGACAAATACTCAGATTAATCTTCCTCGTAATTACCGAACAGTTCAGATTTACCTCCCCTACCTCTAGATGTAATAAACGAACGATTCAGACTAAAAGGATTGATCAAACGCAAAAAACGAACGCAGCTTCAGTATAATTTATTCAATTTAGACTATTACAGGCACTCATGAATGTATAGAAGTTACGCCATCGGTTTGTAAATCTACGGTGGGAGACTTTGTACTGTGAAGAAACGGCAGGAAACTCATCAGGGGCTGTTTTTTCTCCCTGTATTATTATTTACAGAGTCGTCAAGTTGATAAATTACTTCAGAGATGATTTATGTAGTCAATTTTCGTTACATATTTTTTATTGCTGTGTCATACAGTATAAATAGTGTTATTTATATCAGGTATAACTATTTAACATATTCAATAGCAAAGTAGTCAGAGCAAACTCATATCCGCTGGCAGCAACCGTTCACGAGCATGAAGCATAATCATCAGCCTATTAGTGTCATCACTGCTGGGACCTTCCCAATGGATGGAATAGGGAGATTGGGCCGTAAACCACCAAGGCCGCCCAGTGTGATTTTGATGGATGCTTATGACTGCAGATGCTGCACGGAGGAACTCGAGCTAGTAAATTAATAGCATAACAGGTATATATTTAAGTGAGTCTTCACAGCGTGCGCGCTTATAACATATATCATTGGGCTAGGCTAGTAAGTGTGAGTGTTAGAAAGTTTTATTAATTATTATCAAAAGCTTACCTCTCTGGCACCGACGGGGGTGGTTCGTCATCCTCATCGTCGGCAGAAGACGCCTGCTGATCATCCGAAGACTGCGAGGAATCCGCGGGCGGTGGAGTACCGGGGCCCTCATCCGAGCTCTCCTCTCTGAATTCACAGGCCAAGTTGCCTGCACGCACCAATACACAGTCAAAAACTACCCTCATAAATCTTAAATATAAACAACAACTATCCAACTTGCACGACTTAGACCGGTCAAGCTGTGATTGCGCAGTGAACAGTCTGCTACATACACACATACATTTACCGCTCGAGCAGTTGCGACTGCTTATGGCTGTTACTCATTAAAATAAAATGATACAAAGTCTGAAAAAGTTCAGTTTAGGTTAATACGGGCACCTTGTGACTTTCTATTTGAAGCGTAGTCAAGAGTGCCTAGTGACTTTTTGTTTAAAGCGAAGTCTCGAGTGATGTTTCGTAAGTTAAAGATTCATAGGTTGTTTTCAAAAATAGGAAAATGACGTGCAAATTGGACGACATGGTTAATAACGTATTCGATCTCAAAAGATATATTTAGTACTTATATACGATTTTTGCGGTTCTGATGATAAACTATTCAAAATTGAATGCGTGTTATGGCAATAAAATAATTTCGATTGCGTATAGTTACTACAGAACGCATCACAGGACTGAGCTGTGATGCCACATACATCTTGAGGTCTCTTGTAACGAATGCAAGCCGCTCTAACGAGCCGCCGAAGATAGGGCAGCTGAGAAGGCTAATAAGAACGAACACAATTCTGAACCACTACGAACGACTAGCTTATAACGCACTATTAAACATGACAAGTTGCTAAGCTACTTGGGTAAAACCCAAGAGTTTCATAAATAATATATTAATTATTTATTAAGTTAATAAGACGCATATAATAGATTGTATAATAATTAAATTGTTTATCATATATCTTATAAAATTATGTATGACAAACTGACTGCTCGTTTCGTGATAGTTGCAGTTTAAAATAATTACAGTTCACTCAATCGCATCTGTGATTCGATCAACATAGGGACAAAACACTAACTAAAAATACACAACATGTTTTTTATCATATTTATAGAAGCTAGATTCAAATCCATTCAAACTAAATTTTTATCAGAATTCTCAAATGATTTCCATTTGTGTAACAGCGTCTGGTGTATGGGCTTTATTCTTTTTGCATTCCGTTAAAACCATATTGATTATCGCTGAAGCTGTATATTCGTAGTTTGCAACGCATGATGAAAAATAAGATTTTCTTCCACATGATCATTGACCATTTGATTCTTCTTGAATTATTCATAAATCCATTTCATCTTCAAAACAGTTCAAAGTATGAACGTCGTTATTTTATAGAAGCAGTACATAATAATCTTTCTTAAACTTTATTATCATACATATAATGAATTTCATCTGACAGCTTGGTCTTTCTCATAGACATTACATTAACATGTTGTGATTAAAACATTTAAAAATTGTATGTAAACGCTTATATACGAGGTGAGGTCAAAAAGTTCGCGAAATAAGAGGGAAGGAGGTTGAAATTCAACACCCAACTATTTTTCCTTTTCAAAGTATTCTCCCTTAACCCTAATACATTTTTCAGATGCCTCAAATAAATTGTTTATACCATCGAAAAAAAATGATTTGTCTTTGGTGTCAAAATAGGCCGAAATTGCGGACTTCACTTCTTCATTGTCGTTAAATTTCTTTCCACGCAGCTCTTTCTTCATTTTTGGAAATAAAAAATAGTCACTGGGTGCCAAATCTGGACTGTAGGGTGTTAGGGTTAAGGTTCCAAGTCGCATCGGTGAACGGCAGCCGTCGCAACGTGGCACGTGTGAACGGGTGCAATATCGTGCAGAAGGAGCACACCTTTTGACAGCTTTCCTCGTCTTTTTTCCTAGATGGCCTCTTTCAATCTTTGCAGTAAAGAAGCGTAGTACTGTCCCGTTGTAATCACACCACGTTCCTTATAATCGATCAGTAAAATACCTTCCGTATCCCAAAAGACAGTCGCCATGATCTGCCAGTCGATTGTGTCACTTTGAACTTCTTTGGAGGAGGTGTGCCTTTTTTATTCCACTGCATCGACTCTTGCTTTGACTCAGGTTCTTTCTGGTGAACCCAGGTTTCATCAGCAGTAACAATTCGGGCCATAACTTCTTCCTTTCTCTCTCCACAGAGCTCCAAAAACTGGGGAGAACACTCGACACGCTCGCGTTTTTGAAGTGGCGTGAGCATTCTCGGAACCCATCTTGCACTGACCTTAGTCATACCAAGATGATGATGTAGAATATTCAAAATACTTGTTTCGTATACTCCAATCATTGCTGCAAGCTGCTTCTTCTTCAACCGGGCATCTTCCAATACAAGTTTTTCTACTTTTCGACGATTTCCGGTGTGGTAGCCTAAATTGGCCGTCCGGTGCGGGGGTCGTCATCAATGGACTCTCTTCCTTGTTTGATAAGACCATGCCCCTTGTAAACCATGGTTTTACCAGGGGCAGAGTCCGCGTAAACCGCCAACAGCTCATGAAAAATAATCTGAGCGGATTTTCCTTGCTTGGTAAGGAACTTAATAACGGCGCGGTGTTCAATTTTCTCCATACTGGCTGACTTCTTCCCAATTCAGTTGTTTGCAGGTCGATAACTCAAAAGTTAATGACCTGATTCGGTTCAAACTTAGTATATATACTCTTAATGAGGGGCTCAACTAGTGCCTACCTGGACGAGTAAACCTACCCTCACCAACCCCTCCATTCCGGGAACTTATTGATCTCCCCTCGTACCTAGAATGTTTGGCACACTGGGTATCCTCCTGAAGAGTCTAGAGTATTATCATAATTTTCAAAGTCGCCCATATGGACGAGGAAATTTACGTTTTCTCGTTGTCAATAAATTCCATATTCAACATTGAAATACAAAAACCTTTTGTTAATTGAATTTTAGAAGTTCTCGCATTTATTTGTTTCATCTTTACATACAATAATTTTCACCTTCTTTTATCATCGTAACATCCAAAAAAGTTGCACCTTTGTTATATAGTTGCACATTGTGACAGTCAAAAAATGTTGCAACTTATGTTTTATTTCACGCCTCGCCACGCCTAGTCATGTAAAGGCTTTTTCGTACAGTGGTACAATTTCTAAAGTTGTTTGTTAATAAAATCGAGGGATACTGTACGGGTTCGAAATAAGGTATGATAAAGGTTTAGGTATTGCGTGCTGGGTTAGTTATTGGTATCTTGGCTAGCTTGTTGTCAAAATTGTCCTTAATGTATTATGTAGTTATTTATTTAGAATTTATCTTCTTTATAAGAATAGTGTGTGTCAAAACTTCCCATCATGATTGTTTAAAAAATATTTCACTGCCTACAATTCATAAGTTTTCTGACCATTGTTTGGGGTGGAGGGTTGATAACCAGGGATACAGGAATTTTCCTAGTTCATGTATCAGCCCACCACAGTCTGCTACATTGTACCATTGCTTGCTTCATGTAAGCCTTATTTAGATTGTGGTATGAGATTTTTTTTTATTATTATTACTAAGTACTAAGCTCGCTTGTTGTGTGCGGGGTTATTGGATGGTTTCCAGTGGATATCTTACCGAGGGAGGTGCTCGCGGGGATGGCAGGCAAGGGTCGGGCGGGGGGTCGCGCCAGGCTCTCCCCTCGCGGGGGCGGGGGAGGCGGCGCCTCTTCTTCCGTCTCGGCCACGGTCGAATAAATGCTCTCCTCCATTTTGGGCTCTTCTGTCTGCGTTCAGTAATATATTCAATAGGGATGACGACAACTAATTTATTCTTTATCAAAAAGTATTGGACACGTATTTTATCTTTATTTTTCATATAATCAAAACTTTACAGAAATATATTGACTTGAAATGCATGATGTCACGTCTTGGTACAATTTTGACTTAGACGTGACGTCACGACCCCACTCCCAAACTTTGACGCGCTTTAAATTTGTAATTGTTTGGTTGATTGACATAAGAAAAAATTAGTTTCCATAATATTTTGATTATCTAAATGATTGACAAAATAGAATTTCTTTTACTTTAAACCGTCGTCTTCCCTATTCCTGTCTATAGGCAAAAGGGGTAGCGGTAGTTTATTATAAGGTGGGTCGTATGCTTATTGTTAAACCTACTTGGTTATGCATTCAAAAACATCGTAGCGACATTGAAAAAGTGTTATAATATAAATTAAAAATATTGTACGATACTTATTGAATAATAATTATACGATAGAAAAATGACACACTTTTCTATATTTTTATGCAACCATTCTGCATAATAAAGTCATGTAAATATTAAATAAATATGTTATTTATCGAATAACTAGTCCCATTAACCACCCATTTCACGTAAAAAAAAGATAATACATGAACTAATTGCGATATACTATTTCTTTAAGAATTGTGTAGTTTCTTTCATCAGTTCTCTACACACAGCTAAAAGAAGTTCTGAACTAGTATATAAAAACAAACATACGATATTCATTTGTTCTCTATAATTTTTTATTCACAACAAGGACTTTGACATAATACCAATAGATAACAAATAATTTGAAAATTTTGGAAGCAAAGGTATATGTAGTATGGTCTTCTCACCCAATTAGGGTCGAGTCTTTTAGCGCCCTCGATGACCGCTTGGTACGAAAAGCGCAGCTGGTCCGGCGTCTGTATGAGCCCCATTCGGTCCTTCCGCATCTCAAGCAATATCTCTTGGATGTTCACACTCTGCTCGCCTTCCTTCTCAATCTGGATCAAAGCAATGCTTCATCAAAATGCGCGTGTTCAGAATAATTGTATCGTAAATTGCAAATCAAACTTTGTGCTGGTTGTGAAGTTAGCAGTGATTGTGCGCATCGACTAGCGTTAACCTCACAGCGAGCAATAAGTAGTAGAATAGAATGGTAAGAACACAATTAAAAATAAATAGATAAAATAAAAAGAGCTCTTTTACGTGAAAGTTAAGCAACTTTCGCAATAGCCAGTCAAAGGATTTTATGTATTCTATCCGTTACCCTAGTATCGCATAACACAAGCCTTACAGTGTTTACTTTGGAGCTAAGCTAATTCGTCTCAGTGTTGGAAATACTATTATTATTATAGAATGGATGACTAATATTTACTATCTCGGGCTCCTCCGTGTTTCGGGTGGCATATCAAACCAGCGGTGGTCTCTGTTGCAGTCGGTAGCACCCACAAATCAGCACTGGTACTGCAGGAACACCCCCGGCGACGACGGCTATCACTACTACTCACGATGACGAGGCAGGAGTCCACCAGACAAAGTGGCGGAGTGTCCGATGCCGGCGCTGCAGTGCACGATCGCCGGGCCCACGTCCGGCTCGAGCGCGCCGGACGCCCGCACGCGCGTCAGGTACTGCAGGAACGCCCCCGGCGACGACGGCTATCACTACTACTCACGATGACGAGGCAGGAGTCCACCAGACAGAAAGTGCCGGAGCGTCCGATGCCGGCGCTGCAGTGCACGATCGCCGGGCCCACGTCCGGCTCGAGCGCGCCGGACGCCCGCACGCGCGTTAGGTACTGCAGGAACGCCCCCGGCGACGACGGCACGCCGAAGTCCGGCCACGTCGTGTAATGGAACTGGATCACCTCGCGGCTCTCCCCGCTCTCCATGTCTTGGATCCTGGCGGGAAATAATGCTATGTCACGCGACTGATTTCACCACTTGCTCCACGATATAGGTATGGGGTTTGGGCGAACAATGTTAGTGTGGTTTGTTCGCAAGTAACTCTCCAATTGGACGGACTAAATTGGTGATCCGTAAGTAGTGCAGTAAAAGTGGACCTCGCGGCTCTCACCGCTCTCCGCGTCTTGGACCCTGGCGCGGCTCTGTCACGCTCATTTTATGACTTGCTTCACGATATAGGTATGAAATGTGATCGAACCATTATTAAGAGCAATTTTTCGAACCGGTGCCGAGCCTTATAAATACAGATATTTATCTCTCTTTTATATTTTTACACACACCAATCACTTAATCGACCGGCCTCTCCGCCCTGCTGATTCATTAGCTCTCTATATTCCTCTTTCTCATTCAGGCTATATGTCCAACTCCTTTACTCTTCAAGCCATACGACTGTGGAATGGCCTTCCCGACTCCATCAGAAGATCTCATAGTAAACTTGTATTTAAAAGGAATGTTCACGCTCATCTGTTGCAAAATTTAAGATGAAGTGTCACTTTTTAATCATCGTCATGTGTATATTATATGTATCTATATATATATATGTATATATATATTTAAATATTATTGTGTTATGTTAGTATGTATTACATTATTTTTATGGTATGTATTTATTTATGTATTTATGTTTTTTGTACATTTATTCGTATTTAGCTTTATACCGCGTTTCGTGTTTCTCATTTTTCCCAAAGGTTGACTGGGAGAGAATGCTTTTAGCATTAGGTCCGCCTTTTGTACCATTGTTTATATTTTGGTCAATAAAGTTTAAATAAATAAATAAATTAATGAAACACTTTAAAAAGAAATAAAGCTATCCATAAACGACGTTTTTTTTAATACATAGATTTCTGAAGTCTCCTATAAATATAATAAAAGGTAGTTAATAAAATTAATAACAAATGCATCTTGCGAGCACGGAACATATACAGGGTCCGAAAAGTCAAGACTAATGTAAAAAACAAATAAAGAAGCGCTGTATCCCATATACTATACACCCGTTCAAGAACTGTTTTTTTCTAATTAAAATACATTTTTTTTATAGATAAGTACGACAAATGACTCCACCACTTATGTATATTGATTTGAAGTTTTTCTATCATTCTGCACGGTAAAAAAAGGTTACTTTAAATAAGAAAAACCAATTTCTCAAAATATTTCGTTATTATAAAAATTGGTAATGCAATATTTTTAGAAAAAAAAAAAGTTTTATTGTTAATAATTAAGAGAAATAGATATTTTTAATTCAAGACTTACTTTAATATAATATCAATTAAATGGACTTCACTTAAAATCAAGAAATTCTATTAACTTGATATGAATTAAAATTATCTTAGAATAAATACAAATTACTTAAACTTCGACTTTTTATTAGCTGCAGTAAAATGACGTTTCAAAATGTCATTCCGTAAAATAATGTTGACAGCCTAATTTCAATAGGGATGTGCTTAGGTTCACAGAAAATCTAATCGTTCCATAAGTAAGTCATAGTGATCATGCTTAATTCTATTTATTATTCATAAAAATAAAAGGCTGTATAAAATCTCAAGTTGGTACTGGTTTTTAGTTACGGTGCTACGATGACGCTTGTCCGCCATTTAATTTTATTTGTCATTCGCTCATTCGGCTTCTAACTTCAAATTCGCTACTCGATCACGCAAGAGCGTACTTATTGATAGACAAGATATCATATCATGGCGCCAGTGCTACCTGCGTTTAATTAAACAATATCGTAGAGAGGGAAGATACATATAATATTATCAAGGCGAGACCTGGGTCAACGCTGGTAAGTGGCAACTCTTAGTTTTCTATGTTTGATCCCCTTTTATTTAGCTGTCGAAACGATTATTCTACGTTAAACTACATGTTTAATGTCTTGTATGTCCTGTGAGGTGTATGTCAATAAAGAATATTATTATTATTTTTTGTTCTTTTCAGGTCATACTACAAAAAAAAACCTGGAGTGATGGAAGTATAAAATCTTCTCGGCAGGCATTTTTAGTCGGTCTAACTACGGGATTAATAAATCAACCCACAGGAAAGGGCAAACGACTCATAATCAGTCACATAAGCGGAGAAGAAGGCTTCCTGGACGACGGACTTCTTATGTTTGAAGCAAAGAAAGGTACAGAAGATTACCATGATGAAATTAACGCAGTGTTTCGAGGAGTGGTTCGACGGCATTCTACCCAAACTCAAGCCGAATGCATTAGTCATAATGGACAACGCGCTCTATCATTCTAGGAAGATCGAAACAATCCCAAAGATGTCGTGGACAAAAGCACGAATTCAAGAGTGGCTGACCACTAAAAATATTACATTTGAACCAAATATGGCGAAGGCCACTCTCATAGCTATTGTGAAACAACAAAATCATACTGAGAAATATGCCGTGGACGAGATTTCGGAAAAAGGTATCAGACTTTTAAGACTGCCCCCTTATCACTGTGAATTGAACCCCGTCGAGTTGGCTAGGGCTCAGGTAAAGGGGCACGTCGCAAACAATAATAAAACATATAAAATGCAAGAAGTGACTTTATTCCAAGAAGGAATCAACAAAGTGACACCGGCTAAGTGGAGTGACTGTGTGTCTCACACTATAAAAGAGGAAGACAAAATGTGCCACCCCGATCATATTATAGATGAAGTGACAGACAGATTTGTCATTAGTGTGACCGAAAGCGATAGTGATTCCGAAAATGATTGATTAATAAATAACATTGTTATGACAATTTTGTTTAATTTTGGATGTACGTCCTTATACTTGCACTCAAAAAGATCAATCCTTTACTAAAGTAATGATAATAGAATAAAAAAACATTACAACTTAATATTAAATCTCTAAAACAAAACCAAAGTGATCATTCATTTATCGAATGATTCACTTACTCGCTTAGCTAAGCGGTAACGCACAAAACGTCATTTTACTGCAGCTAATAAAAAGTTCTACTTTAGATTGAGATATTTTAATTTAAGAAAGGTTGCTCTACAAGAGATAATGATTCATTTTTGTATGAAAAATTTACACATTTACTTGGCAGTACAAATACAGGTTGTCTTGACTAAAGTAATATTATGTCTTGGATCAAATGAATTATTCTTGTAACAAGTATGTATTTTAAGAATATTTTATACTATTACGAAGAAAATATTGTCTAGCATCGTCTATAGGGAGAAGATCATTTTCTTGGATTTAATAAATATTTGTAAATTCAAAGCAATTAATCTTAATTTAAAAAATAACTATATTTACAGTGTGAGAACAATGAGCAGACTGTTAATAATTTTGCGGCGATCAGCAGACTATAAAGTTGACCACTCGCTGCATAGGCCTACCTCCATGATTTTTAAATTACATTACATATTAATAAATTATCACATAGTCAGTCCCGCGCGGGTAGCCACAGCGGACGCGCGTGTTACTCTGCTTGTGCTCGGTGTCGTGCCGCGTGCCTATTTTATACGCATAAAATAAATATTGACGTTATAATATAACGTAATTAGGGCAACACCTGGTAACAGGAGACCCTAAAAAATGTATTCAACCTCAACGTCTCAATCTACCCCACTGTCTCAATCGAATCTAAAATCCCAAATAAAACCGACTGCTTCAAGTTATGCAAATGTAACGTCATCGACTTGTTTTCCCAAGAAAGACCAAGCCATCGTACTGGACTCGATCGACGGAATAACACTCAGGGAGTACCTCATTGCCTTAACATCTGTTTTACCTGCGACGGCGATCCGATTTATATCACGTATTTCGAATGCACGTATTTGTATTTATCTAGACACTAAAAAATCTGCAAATAATTTACTAGAAGAAAATAAGAAAATTAAGATCAAAGAACATACCTTTGAAATAAAACCATTAATAACTAGAAATAAAAGAATTGTTTTATCTAATGTTTGCCCAGTTATACCTAATTATATTATTGAACAGAAATTTCAAGAGTTAAATATTCAAATAATGTCCCCTATAACATTCATGAAAATAGGGGTGACTGATCCGGGATTTTCCCACATATTGAGTTTTAGAAGACAATTATATATACGTCCAGAAGATGAAACTCGGCTCCCAGAATCATTCCAGTTAAATTTTGAAGATACGAACTATTGGATTTATGTTACCACTGACGCTTTGAAATGTTTTACATGCAATAATGTGGGTCATTTATCAAAAAATTGTTCGCAAAATATTAATAATTCTCAACCCTATTCTCAAGAATCTGGTAGACAAACGGCCCAAGAAATCAATAACTTCTTTGAAAGAAGAAGAAAAGAAAACGAAGATATTCCTCTACCACGGATAAATACGAAGGGAAAAAAACGGATACATTCTCCTACGAGCAGGGAAATGTCAAAAGTTGAAATTATAAAACCACAAAAAATAGATGATACAATTAATAATGAAACTGATGAAACCAGCAGTAATATTTCACAAGATGATAAAGAAACCAACACTAAGATAAAGAAAAAAATAAAGAAGACAGACACAAGGACAGAGAAGAAATTTGGAAAAATATAGAAGAAAGCATGACAGAATTAAGTAATGAGACTACATTTCCTATTAGCTTAGACCAATTTATTAGTTTATTAGATAACACACGGGGAAAACAAAATATAAAAGAATTAGTATATTCATATACGGACAATGTAAGAGACCTCATTAAAATGTGTAATATATTACATAGTAAAATGAACAAAAGCTTAAAAAATAGATGTTCACGCTTTCTAGAAAATTACACGAAATGTTAAACCCTGATTCGATCATTTCATCAGATAATGATAAATAAGCGTTCCTTTTTGTTAAAGTTATTATATAAAAAAATCATATTTGTTATTTAATATTATATACACATGGATATATTGCAATGGAATGTAAATGGTTACTTTAAGAGACTAGAAAATATAAAACTTATAACAAACAGATTATGTCCCAC